GAATGGCCTTGGGTTGCTTCGCTGCCTATCATCAGGGAAAGTTCAAAGTCATTGTGAGAGTGTTTCATTCACTGAGCTGGTGGCTCTCCGGATGATTAAGACAGGCCAACCTAGGTCAGTGATTCCCAAATTCACACTAGCTGTTCAAAATGGCCTGGCAGATCTGTATGTTCTGAAAAGAGGCAGTTCTACAATGGTCTGTTGTTTGAACAGAGTGAGTGGCAGAACCAAGAACAGTGTGATGCCATTTTCCTTAACAAAATAAGACCACAGCTAGCACAGATCCTAAATAACCCCTAGCTGGAAAGGAAAATCAAAACCGAAATGAAAATTGATCTAGAAAGTAATAAAAAGGAATATATATCCAACTAGACATCTGAGTTATACGGTTAAAGTTGTAGGCAGAGGAAAATGCATAATCTTAAAGTCCTCTCCACAGAGATAGACTAAAGATTAGACTGAACTTTTTAAAAATGATCTTTAAGGATCACTTTCATAATTTTGTATTGCTTGAGATATATTATTTTTTGTAATTAAAAGAGAATCCTTGGACAGTTTCCCATAAAATTAACATATCTCTACCCTATGACCTAGCAGTTCCACTCCTAGAAAAATGAAAATCTAAGCCCACAAAAAGACTTGTGCACAAATGCTCATAAAAGCTTTACTCATAATCACCCCAAACTGGAAACAACTCAAATGTCCACCAGCAGGAAAATGAATAAACAAACTGGTGCATCCATACAATGGAACACTACTCAGCAACAAAAGGAACGAGCTATCGATACAACAGCATGGATGCATCTCAAAACATCAGGCAGAGAGAAGCCAGGCACGAAAGAGTATATGTCATTCAGAGCCATTCATATGAAGTTCTAAGCTTAGCCAAACTCATCTATGGTGATAGAAATCAAAAACTCGTTCCTTCTGGGAGGAGACGGACACAGATAACTTTCTGGGGGAGCTGGACATGTTCTATATCTAGCTCTTGGTGATGGTTACACAGTTTTGTATAAATTCATCACAACTCATCAAACGGAATCTTTGCATTTCACTGCATGTAAATTATATCTCAATTTAAAAATATTTTTTTTAATCATGAAAAAAATTTTAAATACAGATTCCCAGGCTCCACCCCCAGGGATTCTATTCCAGTGTGTCCAGGCCCAGCTTGGGAATACGGAGTTGTAAAAAGTAATTCAGGTAATTCTGATGCCTGACCAGAGTTACTGCTGCATCCCCTACCCCCATACCACCCACCGGCTTTATTGTTTTGAGTGATTTGTATGTTAGTTTTTACAAGACAATTGGTTGACCACAAAGCTTTTGGAACATAAGATTTTCATTCTCTCTGCCCTCTCTCCATCACTCCTAACCCCTGCCCCTGAGCTCAGGTTTCTAAATGAAGCCTCGGACAAGGTGAGGTGAGGAGGAAACCCCGAAGCCCTGTCTAGGACAGATATAGCGCAACCTAAAAGAGGCCAGGGCTGCATGCTCCCGGGGAGGTCAAGCCAGTAAGTTAATAGCCTGTGTACCTGTTAAACATCATGTCCAGGCCGTCACCCTGTGTTTACAAAAAGAGCTCAGAGCAAAATTCACTGGCACAGAAAATGCTTTGTGCTCTGACCAGCAGTGACTGGGCCACCCTGGGTCTCCTAGACACCAACTTAGTTCCTCACTCACCATCAGGGGTCCCCTGGGCTCCCAGGTTGAACTGGCTTCTTCACTGCTGTCCCCAAACCATCTGCCAGCTGCCCTCAGAATAAAGCTCAAGCCCTTTTACCTACCACCCAAGGCCTTCCCCTTTCTTCTTTCCGACTAGGCCCCTGTGAGGCAATTGTGCATTTGCACCTGCTGTGCCCCCTGCCTGGAACATCAACTCATCCTGTTCTTCCACTCAGATGCCAATTCCAACGTCACCTTTTTTAAGAAGCCGAAGTGTGTCCTGCCTATGACCCGGCTATCAATGCACACTGAGTCTTCCTTCACTGTATCCCATGGCCGGCACAGTCATAGAAGCTGCCACACTGTTCTTTCTCCTCTGGGCTATGAGCTCCTCAAAAGTCAATATTCTACCCTGAATCCAGTGCCTGGCCAGAACTGACCTTAGCAAAGTTTATTAACCAACTAACTCAATGAGGCACATTAAAAAAGAGCTCTTGTTCACGTTTGAAGGCCACTGAGCATTTCCACATCCACAGATCCTCCCCAGAATCCACAAATTCACACAAACATTTTGGTAGATAAGTTGGCCAACATGGAAGAATGAGATGCAGCCCCAAAGAATGTGACTCTCACTTAAGACCTTTTGCAGAAATGGGGGATCAGCCCACGCCTGCAGGGTGACCCTGGGGGTCCAAGGCCAGCCCTATTTCTCACCCAGATGCTATCTAGCTGCAGCCAAGCTGCGTTCCAGGTGCTCCTTGTAATCTACTTTTCAAATGGTTCCCAAATAAAGAAATATGTTCAGTGACTCCAATGTCTTATCATTTCAGGAACTTTCAGATAAGTACAGCTCTTAAGTCCTTTGACAGGTTGACAGGTAGACAAATTAGAGTTAGACAATGCCACCCCCAGGGCCCAAACTGCCTCCTGGAGAACTGACACTTGTATAGGAAGGGTGGCAGGGCTCCCAAAGAAGACAAAGAGAAGAGAGATGGATAACTAGGGACAGAATTAAGGTACCAGTCCACACACTCACCCTAATGATTCAGGCACCTTTGTCTCTTGTTTTCCCCAGGTCCCGGTCTGATTTCAATTCCTCAAGACATTAGTTACTAAAACTCCACAGGGCCGAAACTCACAGCTGTCCAAGGGAAGGCCTTTGAAGTCTAAATCTGTCACTGTCTAGTCAAGCTGCTGTCCTCTGGGTGGCTCTCAGTTTGTCCTTCTGTAAAATAGCCGCTACCCACTAGGGCCTCCCGACTCTACAAAGCAGATGTGACCCAATCACAGCAGGATGAGCTGAAAGGGACAGGGCAGGGGAGGTTGACTGTGGTTGTGCCACAGGTTAGTACAAGAGTATCCCCAAAGGACAAAAGCTCAAGGGTGCGTCTCAGCCCTTGCCACATACCCACGGTGACCTGGGACCTCGTGACTCCCTCTAATCGGCAGCTCCGAAGCCGAGCTCGGCTTTACAGCTTACCAGAGGCTTATTCAGCCTCATCTCCCTCAATCCCCTCAAGGACACAGTGAGGCTGGCATTGGCGTCCTTACTGCCAGAGGCCCAGGGAATCACCCAAGGTCGCCTGCCGACTAAGAAAGAGGCACAGTACTTGAACTCAGCTCCCTGAGGACAAGCTCCTGCCTCTTAGATTCTGCTTACCCCATAACCAGTCCACTCTACCCATTTTACAGATGAAGACACTGAGGCCAAAAAAATAAAGATTGCCCAAGGTCAGCTGGGGGCTGAGCCAGGCCTAACACCTCTAGCCATTTTGCCAATCCCACCGTATGGTGGGTACTCATCAGCCCTTACATCCCCTCTAACCCTCCCCTCTCAACACCATCCTGATTAAATTCCTTTCCCTCTCCACCCCCACACCTCTTCATTATGCCTACCCCACACTCCCTGGATGACTCCCTGGTCGACAAGGAGGCAGGCGGTTGCTAAGTGCTCACCCGCTCTCTCTCATAAAAATAAACTCCTTCTGGCTGGGAGACTCTGGATGAGATCCTCTCCCTTCCAGCCAAGAAAAAATTAAAAAGAAATTTTAAAAAGATATCCTCCGTGACATTTATTTGAACGTCAGCAATGCGGAAGCGTGGGCCAATTTACCAAAGTCCAAATGGAGCCACGCGCCACTAAACCTCAAAACCTCAGTCGGAAGACCCTCCATTCAAGCGTCTAGTCGGTTACTGAGCTGATTTATTTCACCCGGCAGGAAATAGGGGCCTGGGCTGCCTCCCAAGCCTTTGGGACAGGTCCTGGGGAAGGCCGGGATCTGGCAGAGGCCTGGCGGTGACCAAAATAGCCAGGCTGGTGGCTCTGCTGAGCACACACCTCCAAGTGTCCTCCCTCCAGTCCAGGCTGAAGCTTTGGGGTTCTGGAGGAGATCCCCGAGATCTCTCTCTCTGGCTTCCCTGATGGGGGCGGGAGGAGAATCTTTTGCCCGTCTGAAAGAGGAACCCCCAGAAGGAAGGGGAAAAGTCAAGAGGAGTGTCTTGTCCCTGCCCACGGCCCACTTGGCTCCCATCTGTCCCTCAAGACGGCTAAATGTTGACACTACCACCTGGACGCCGCACACGGGCGGCACCCTTGGAGCAACGCCGCCCTATCACCTCTCTCCACTCAGTGCCTGCTCTGAAGAACGAGCTCGGGCCGTTCGGCCCTCTAGGCACCGGGGACACTCCCTCCGGAACAGCAGAGGACACACAAGTGCCCGCAACCAGGGACCGAGAGACACAGCCACATTCAGGGGCACACATGTGCGTAGCCAGGTACTTGAAGACACAGTCACACGACAGGTTCACACATATATATAGGTTTACACACACACACACACACACACACTGGGACACACAAATGTACACATCCAAAGACACAGCGACACAGTCACACTCAGGTAGCACAGACACACACTAGAACACACACGCACAGCCCAGGACAGAGAATAATAGCAGGCATACATGGGGGGGTCACACAGTGCATGCTGCTGGGGACATGGAAAAACAGCCACCCTCAGAAACACACAGACACACACACAGGGACGCGGAGATCCATACAGACGCCCAGTGAGACTGAGACTGAGACACACACACACACACACACACACACACACACACACACACACACACACACCTGCCGCCTGCACAAGAAGTCCGAACCCTTTCGCCAGGGAAACAATAACGGCCCCTGCAGCAGGTCTGAGCAGGCGACCCTCCGTCACGCCCTCGGTGGTGAAAGGGGCGCCGCGATGGGCCGGGGAGGAGGTCGGGGCTGGCGCGAGCGCAGGGACGGGGCAGGGGCTCCGCGCACTGGCTCCCTCTCCCTCGGGTACCTGGAGCGGTCCTGCGCTCGGCTGCGCTCGCTTCCACTCGCCAGAGGCTGCCCGCGCGCCGGATCTCTGGCTGGCCGGGTCCGCGCTCCGCGCTCCGCGCTCTTTCTCGGCGTGGCTGGGTCTCCGGGCTCGCGGTCCTCGGAGCTCGGCGACGGCAAGCGAGCGGGGCTGCGACTAGGGCCCGGAGCTCGGCGCAGGCGGCGACGAGGAGGAAGCGGTAATTTATAAGCGGCTTCTTCCTGACCTCGCGTGTCTGTTGTCTGAGCAGGCAGCTCTCAGCATCACCCATCCTGCTGGGTGGAAAAATACCAGCTTGGCCGGGCTGGGGGCGGGGTCAGGGAGGGGCTGGGGCGGGGCCGGAGCGCCCAGTCCCGCCCTACACGCGGACACACACACGCACGCACACACACACACACACACGCACACACGCACACTCGCACCCCACACACGCACGCGCGTACGGGCTCGGACACACAAAGAGCCCAGGCTCGCCGAGCGCGCGCGCACACACCCTCAGGCCGCGGGCGAACCCTCGGCCCAATGCTGCCTCCGCTACAATGCACTTTTCCGGAAGACCCTTACTCTCCAACCCCCGGTGCCAAGTGATACAACCCGTCCTCAGCCACCCTCCCGCCTACGGATGAGGAGCAAGAAAGCCCCTAACCCCGAATCGCTCCCTCCCCTAACACCAGCCTCCGAACCCCACCACTTGCCCATCCACCTGGTTCACAGGAGAAGCTTGCGATTCCTTCAGTGGCGAAGTCCAAACCACTCCACTGAGTCCTCCTGGTCACCCAGGTTCTCTAAGCCTTGATATGCACCTTGAAGACATGGACACAGCAATTCTCCCTTTCTGCCACCCCAGGCATGAGAGTGCCCCGAGATTGTATGTGAAAGCAGTAAAGAGCTCCCCAGATTCTTAGCTTTGCCCTAGCTGGGTAACCTTGGGGGAGTTACTTAGGCTCTCTGTGCCTTGGCTCCCTGATCTGTAAAATGGAAATAAAAATAGTAGAACTTATCTCCTCTGGCTGCTGCGAAGATCCAAGGTTAACAGTGTAAAGCACTCAGAACAGCACCAGGCACTTAGGAAGTGCCAAGTGAGTGTCAGCTACTGAGACTATTTTTAAATGAAAATGGGGAATGTGCCATTATTCTTGTCCTTATTTGCATGAGCGGGTCCTCAGAGACCATTTTCCTTCCATAACCAGCCCCTGACTGAGCATGAGGAGGAAGTGCTGTGTGACTTCTAGCAAAGCCTTTCCCCTCTTCTATTCTCAGTTTTCTCCTCTAACTTTCTCTCATTCCCTCTCTGCACCTATGAGGACAGCTATGAGGCTATGAGGACAGCTTGTGGATCCTTCCACTTTTTAGACTGAGAATAAAGAAATACCAAATGAGCCCCTGGCCCCATAGAGCTACCTACCCCTCCCAGCCCACATACACGTCAGACCTGGCCCAGCCAGGACCCACTGCCTGGAAGAGCTTAGCTTCATAACTCCCTCTTCCTGAGCAGCCACGGAGATGGACCAAGGATGCTGAATAGCAACATTCTGGAGATGACACTGCCTCTCCCTGGCTTCCTCATTGGGGCCCCCTGCTGTCTGTCTCTATCGTGAGCTTCTCGCTGGCTACCCCCACCTGGCTCCAGCCAAGCCAGACACTGGCCACTCCTGGCACATACCCTTCCTTACCTTCCTACAGTGCCTTTCCTGCCCTTCTCTACTGGCCCCAATTGCCCCTCCCTCCGGAAAGCACACAGGGACCAGCAGTGGCTCCAGTGTCCTAGCCACCCCAGGTGGCATCCACTTTTGGGCACTTCAGTTCTCTCCTTTGAGTTCAGGGTACCTGCACCCCTTTTATCAGTGAGGAAACCAAAGGAAGAGGAGAAGCAACTGATCCCCACATCTCTCGCCTTCTCTTGATGGGAAGGAAGTCACTTCATGAATTGAGAGAGCAGACAGCAAGCAAAAACTCCCAGACTCCTTGTGCTTGCGTCACTGCACAGAGTGCAAAGTGGCAGGTCATAGTGTGGGGAAGTGACTCTATTTGAGGTTAGAACCATCAGGAGGCTTTGACGAAGCCGCTGGGTTGAGAAGAAGGGAGGCAGAACTGTATTTCAGGCAGAGGAAGGTACTAAGTGAGCAAAGGCCCACTAGCAAGAGTAATGGTGGACCTAAGCAAAGGCGATGTGGCCCAGCTGAGGGAGGCAGAGAGTGAGTGAGGGCAGCGAGGCCATGGGAGGAGTGAGGGGAGCAGCAAGTCCAGGGCTGCAATTTGGAAATGCCCATTGGATCATCTGAACTCCAGACAGGCAGTGTAGTACAGATAGTGTCAGTGCAAGACAAATGGACAAGTCTCATCCAACAATCTGCCTTCCTCCTCTAGACCATCAACTTCATTAGGGTTGGGACCTTGTCCTTTATGCCCAAATATTTGTCGCATTTATTTAACAAACCCTTATATAGCACTTAGCTACATGCTGGGCACAGTTCAATGCATTTAAATATATTAACTTGTTGAATCCTCGTAACAACCCTGTGGGGTAGACACAATTAAACTTGCCCATTTTCCAGAAAGGAAAACTGAGCCACAGAGAAATTCAGTAACTTGCCTAAGGTTGTTCCGTGGGCACGTAGTAGAGCTGGAATTCAAACCCGGGCCATCTGGTTCCAGGCACGCAGTCTTAAATGAAGAGATTCCTAGGCCCTGGGTGGTTGTCAGACGAAAACCTAGCCCCAGAGGGCAGGAGAGAGAGAGGGAGTAGAGTTGAGGAGCCAAGCTGTGCTGCCACTTCAACCCCAAGGAAAGGCGGATAAGAGGTTGAGAAAGGCTTGGGTGGTGGGGAGATGTGAGGGAAGAGTAATGTCAGGTAGAGAGAGCTCAGCGTGGAGCCAGAGACCCCCAGTTTCCATTCTCCTCTCTGCTGCTTCCCAGCGGTGTGATCCGGACCTGCATGCCCGCTCCCTGTGCCTCTCAGTTTCCTCATCCATGATATGGGACAATAAATCCTGCCTTATTGAGCCGTTGTGATGAGAGATCTCAAACTGGGGTTTGGGGGGTTGCTTGCACTAAATCCAGCTTCCAGATGTGCTTCTTTGGCCTTCACTGGGCTTTAAAATATTTGAGTTAATATTGAATGAATATTATTAACATGAATAAAAACTTGAGAGTTCACATTTTAGAAACCTGAAGATCTGCATTCTCTGGGGGGAAAAAATGACAAGATGGAGCTACTTCAGGCCCGTTATCTACCTGTCTACCATCATTTGGAACTGAGTGGCATCAGCCACACCCTCACATAGGGGGCATGGGCTCTCTAGGGTGCCACTGGCCCCACCTGGCTAGTTTCCTCATTTATGCCACCTACCCCGACCCTGCAGGGGGCTGAGTTTGAAACCCATGGTGTACTCTGTGCACTGTCCCTGCTCCCTTGCCAGAGGATGTCATCCGGAAGCTCTAGGAAGAAACTATGAGTATCGAGGAACCAAAACCATTGGTGACAAGAAGGGAACTTCAAGGAAACCCAAACAGCAGTTTCCTTCAGAAGCCGCATGCTCACCTGAAATTCTATTGGGACTACCTTTTCCCATTTCAAGAATGAAAATCAATAGTTGGGAATAGCTCAGAGGGCATGTGAGGTGAGATGGCCAAGTGTCAGGCTTCAGTCTGCTGCCCTGAATTTAAAGGCAGTGAATGAGATTGTGAAAAAGCTATTTGATGACGCTTTTTTCAGCATCTGGCAATAATAAAATAAAATTGATCCAGAACTTTGAACAAAATTCTTTGTCCCTTGCCACAGAATAGTTTGTCTTATCTTTCAGGTGACTGATAAGAGTTGTTGCAATGCTAGCTGGAGGTCCAGCCATTCTGGGCCATCTGGTCAGCACAAAGAAACCCATCACCACCAGCCCATCTGAGCCAGGATCAACTGGCCAACCTCCTATACCTCTCAGAACATCATTCCCTGAGGAGATAAAAAGACAGTGATGGAACTGCTCAGTGGTCCCCGTCCTAGTCACTTTCTCCTGGGCATACCCCATGTGCACACGTCTCTGTAGTACAGACAGATGGCTGTACCACAGAAGTTTTGTCAGAGCATCTGAGACTTTGGGAATACACTCCTCACCCACCGACCCATCTCTTGCCTGCTTGCAAAGCTCAGCTTCATCTCTCGTGGACTGTGTGAAGTAGAATGAATCCTGTAACCTCTCTGTGCCTCAGTTTCCTAATTTGGAAAGCCTTTTAATCCTAACTCCTATGCCCCAGGTTGTCATGAGGGTTAAATGGAGATGATTCACAAAAAAAAAAAAAAAGCACTGAGTTTGGTGCCTGGCAGGACACTTGCTGACCTTCCTGCATGTGTGACCTGGACTTTTCCTCCTCTGCCTCCTCCCAGGCTGTTCCCTCCCCTATATTGTTCTTTCCCTCAAAATTCTTTGCCCATTGCCCTCCTGCAGCCTGGATCTCAGCCCAACTTGGAGCCCCAGAGTAGGAGCACCCAGAAGCCAGAGAGCCCTAACAGTGCCTAGCATTGGAGCACAGAGGATCCCAGAAAACCCTTGCCAGATGTGGTCTGTGGGTGGCAAGCCTCCAGGGTTCACTTCCTCCTCCCCCTTAGTGGGAACAGCAAATCTGCCCTAAGGAAGGGAGAAAACACAGTGCAGGAGACAGACCAGCAGGGGAGGGAAGACACATATGCACGTAAATATATTCACCAATGCTGCAGATGCTCTCCAGCTCCTCAGCCACCCCTGGCCAGGCCATTGTCTCCCTTCTGGTGACTGGGAGCGTGGAGCAGGGTGGGGAGGGGTCGGGGGGGGGCGCTCCTCCCTGGCTTCCTCTCCTGCGTCCCCAACCCTTCTTCACTCAGCAGCCAGAAGGGTAGATAGAGGGATCCTGGGACTCTCCTCCATTCCTGATGGGGAGCATGGGGTGGCAAAACCACTGCGGAAACATTTCAGCAATTTTTTATAAGGTTTAAACATCCACTATCAGTCAGTAATTCTGTCAATCTAAGAACATCCCAACCTGTAGAGAATTTTTATGATAATCTTTTCGAGCCAAACAGAGGATACGCCCGGAAGCAAGATCTCAACAGACTGAGAAAAATGCTTCCAAAAAATGACAGTCTGCAGCTTGTTTTATGCGTTTGGAATGAAAGAGAACAGAAGGAAGATTACTTGACAGTGGGAGAAAGTAAGGCGGAGATCGGATTACGGGATTGCTCTGTTGGGGGTGGTCTTGTCTTAGAAAGAGATATCTGAAAAGAGGTTAACAAAGGTATGTTAACCTAGATGAATAGAAACAA